ACGCATGTCACCATGTCTTTTCTCTTTTACCACCAACTGGTCAATGGATTATGGCTTTTTTGACGTGTTCTAGGCGCTTCTATGTGCTGAGCTCGCCCGGCTTTTAAGCATTTAACTTCATCATCACATACATCACCGAAGACAACCTCGGGAGCCGGCACCAGACGCCGTCAATATGATTCAATAACTTCTCGATCAGGGAGTCGAAACTACGCAGTCGTCAAAAGTCCTTGCTTCAAATTCAATGCGTGTAAACTTTGAGATGGACAATCTCAGCTCATGAGATTTTTTCGTGTGGGCAGAAGAGAGGGAAAATGGCGGCTATACTATGTTTTGAATGCCGTCCTCGTTTTGTGGGCTAATAACTTTTACCAATTTCTATATTTCGTCCTCCAGAACATCTTATCCTATGTATATCAAGTCATCACCTGAGGCATTAGACGCTAGGTGTTCAACATTCTGATTTGGATGGTCTTTACAGCTGCCCCGGTCATTTTCCAACGCCCATCCGGCCAGCTCGCCGTTGTTTTGCAACGTTCCGGTCTTCTCGTAGCCGCAAGCTTGATGCTGACCAGCGGGCTGCGCCTTGAACAGCTGCTGGGACTCGTGAAGTATGACGAGGGGCATAGGCCTGATGCGGTGCGAGTTTAATAGTGAACTCCCCACGATTGAGGTCTGTCATATACCTTTCCCTAAGTTGCACACTTCTTGGCTTATCCCCCCTTTAGCCGCTCAGGACTGTTGTTACACCAATGTCCTGTCACATTTCACTGCATATTGAAGGTTTCACAATGCCAATACTACCAAGACCCAAGGTTAGCCCAGGTTCAGTGAACACATGGATATCTGTCATGGCCGCCCATCGATGCTCAAGGTTGTTTAGTAGTTTGGGTTGAATTAGACTGCAACATCCATCGGCGAGCCTCACTCATCTGGCGTAGGCGCCATTCACATGGGCCTGTAGGCTAGTTGTAGGCCTGATCCATCTGACCCGTTTCCTGCTGTCCCGCAAAGTCCAGGAGTATTCTCAAAGATGGCCGTATGTCAACAATGTTCTTCCAAGTAGGTCTTTTCAAGATTCTCGGCTCACGACAAGCTTGCAGCCATGAAGTAGAATCAGCGCCAGGAAGATCGTGCTGCTGCTCAACTTCGTAATATCCAGTCTTTAACATACAATGCTCGCTGTGCTGGCCTCAAACCGGCTCAGGAACGCTGTCAGTGAGCGCACGTGGGGAACCCAGGTTCGGCGTGCCATCCGTGTGCCACCCGACGCTACAAGTTACAACGTCAGGTATATGTCTACATTATGGGAAGGGGGGAAAGACGTACGCTTGGACCATAGTGCGGCGATTCCCGTCGCAAGTGCCGGGGGTGACAGCATTGGCATGGTACACCTGGGCGCTTGATTAGATGATGTTGGAAGGGGGAAGGGAGGCAAAACATACCATCCAGATCTGCGCGGCGGAGGGACTCAGGAAGAAGCCATTATGACCAGGCTGATAACTCCTACACCCAAATTCCATTAGGCCCCCAAACACATTCCCAAGGTTCTATTGGGCACGCACCCATTCCCGGACGTAAATATTGGGCTACCGTACTTCGTCCACGAGCTCGCGCTGAGCGGGTCGGAGCCCGTGAGCTCCAGGCGACCGAGTTGGTAGCCCGTACCGGCGCAGCTTGACGCAGAGTAGACGATCCAGGTGCGACCGCCGTGGTATAATGCTTGGGGGCCTTCATTCGTATTGCCACCAATGGTCTCCCAGGAGAGTGTCGGCGTCGAGATCTTGACCGTGTTTCCAACCGTCGTGGGCGTGAGGAGCTGCGAGATGTAGAGACATTGGTCTGCGTCACGTTAGGGCGTGCAATAAAATATGGGAAGGGAAACGCACTGGCACCGTCCCAGCTGGAGTACACAAGGTAGTTTCCGGAGGGGAGTACGAGGATGGTGGAGTCGATCGCCCAGACGTCGCGGTTAGGGATCGCAATGCGCCCCGCATAGCTCCAGGAGGAATCCCAGATGATGTTCGAGGACCCCTTCAGCACATGCGTGCGTTGGTTATCGAACGTCCCGCTTGTGCCAGCGGAGTAGTATCTTTGGCTATACGTTAGTGTGCGATGTTTGAGAAGGGGGAAGGTACGCACATGTACCATGCGCCAGAGACATAGTGGATCTCCGGGGCCCCTGGGGACGTCAATGTGTAATGTAAGTTGACGTTATCCATCAGTAGAGAGGGGGTAGATAAGACTGACAGAGGTTGCAACACCTGGACGCCGTGCTGTCCGTCCAGACGACCTTGGGAGACGCGGTCTTGAGCCCAGCAATGGTCGTGGCACGCGTTATTTGGATGTTAGTCCACGTTGTCGTCGTCAGGTCTATTCATAAGGGGGCTGGGTCAGCGGTGGTCAGCCGATAGGGAATGGAAAAGGACGAACAGTAGTACCCTTCGTGGTAGACCATGAAGGGGTCGGACCCATCCGTGGATTTGATGGGGTTGGTGAACCCGAAGACGAGGAGCGACTGCGCCACGAGGGCGAAGAGAAGAAAGAGAGCTCTGAAGTGTAACATGAGTTCCAATTGAGCCTGAGTCCATGTCATCCAAGAAACGCATTTTATACAACACAAGCTGTGGTGCGAAGGGTCGCCCCTAGCCAAGTCACAAGGCGTGAAAAAGAAGACGCGTTAAAGACATCGTGCGGCGGCAGTGGACAGCGGGAAAATAGGACATAAGAGCTATGGGGGTCAGTTGGCTCTTTCAACGGAGCAACTGCCGTGCGGGCTCATCGTCGGATCATTGAAACGGGTGTTGGACGGCCTCCTTCAAGCCTGGGGACGCCAGGGGCGGGCCGCGGGCCGCCACTCAAATGCTCAATTCACGATGGGTGTTCTCGATATTTGAAATAAGAGCTGGTGCAATGTTGTCTCACCCAGTGTGAAAGTAACTTTCAGAACCTGCAAGTAGCGTCATTGGGTGGAGGGAAGAGGTGAGGCATATGTATTCCAGCCGTTGCAGGTGAAGCATGTCACACGCGCATCCGGGGAAGGGAAGGGCGGGAGCCGTATGGTTGTGTGCCCAGTACTAAACTCTCCCGTTTTTAGAAGTTTCAGTCGGACGCCGTCGCATCGTGTCTCGAACAGAAAAAGCGCACAGCACGCCCCACCCCGACTACGACCAGCACGCAGCACATCTAGTTAGGAGATTGACGCGTTAGACGGCAGTACACCAAAACTGTCATCCACCCTGGCTCTGTTCCTGGGGTCCCCATGCAGGCTCCCGACTTTGGGCTCAAGGCTATCGTAGCGCCTCCGTGGTGCAGTTGAAGAGAGTAGTATGCACGCAGGCAGATTCGGGCGGTATGCATGTACGAGAGTAGAAGGGGGTTGAAGTCTCCCCCAACTTTGCACTAAGGATTCTCAGGTCCTCTCCCCATCCGGCGTCGAGATGCAGTCGAAGCAGGTTGTGCGACGTCGCGACGCCTGGCTCGGAAGCGAAAAGTTGTCTACCCCTACTTTGCTACTGGGGTCCCCCTACATGAATGAGTCCTCCCCGAATTAGCGTTTGGGGTCCTTGCCCTGCCTCACTCAAAATTACCAGCAAGAGCTAGGAAGAAAGGTTTCGAACGAACCGAATGACGGTCCCGCCCCGAAACGGAAAAGGGATGTGTCAGGAATGATAGCATCAATCCCGATCGAGTGGTTTGAACCAAGTCCCCGACGTGGCATCGAGAACGTGTTTTAAGGCTCTCTTTGTAGTGCAGGCCTGGAAATTTTGCCAGGGGCAGGTATCAAGCATAGTAGAGTATGAGAAGGCCTATTTTATTGCAAGAAATGAGAGCTACAGAGGCCAAAAAAGCGTTAAGGTGTATATTGATATCAAACCCTTACACTAAAATGAGTGATGGACCTAGCCAGACTAACAGAATCCAGGTGATTTTGAGCGTGCCGGCCAGCTGCCGAGGGACCGTCAATGGGACCGTCATTCGGGCGGCACGAAGCGATCTGAGTACGGTGGGTTTTTGGCAGGGCGCTCCGCCAAAAAAATCACGAAACATTTGTGCACGATGCAAATGACGGTCCCATTGACGGTCCCTCCGGAACCTCACTCGGCTCCCATTTGCAGCCCCTGCCTCACACGGATAGGCCCGTCTGGCTTTGATTTTATTTCTTAGGTTCCGAATACTGACATATAAGTGAATATATGTTATTTTACGGCTACCTACAGACAATCCCAGGTCTCCCAGCCATCAATCCCATCAATTTTGTCGATACCTTTGATCTCCCGTCGTTTTGACGCGTCCACGCGGCGCGCCAACCCTCTTCCCCGCCACCCCATCTTGCGCGCCCCCTCTCCTGGGACCCACGTGACTTGGTCCCAGGACCGTCAACGGGACCGTCATTCGGGCGGAGGAAGAAAAGTAAATTATGTAGGCACGTCACCTGTGATTTTGTGCCACCTCTGTGATATTCATTTTAGCAAGTGTTTGCTTCAAATCCCAACCCCAACCCTTAACCAACGAGGAGGGGTGTGTGAGTAGCGCCGAGGGGCAGTCGCAGGAATTCAATCGCATGTCCGAACCGTAAATTTTAAACCTTGACCTTTGAGATGCGCATTCACGTGTAGACACACATGTTGACCGCGCCCGACACCGTTGTTCCGTCACAAGTGAATGACTGACCACTGTTTGATACACCAAGTAAATGACCTTGGGGGGCCTTTGTGCGTCCCCGATTCCATCTTGTCAGCCCGGGTCCATCCTTTAAAGCCAAACCAACGCTGCCTCTTACTGTAATCTCTGAGCCTGCACGACCTTCATCGAGTCGTCGTGAAAAGATATAACATCAAAGCTCGTACCGTCAGTGGTTACCTGACTACTCGGAGTAAGACTACCAAATCTTTTCGATGCAATTCGAGTACTCAACCTCTCGATCGGACTCTCTCGCTAGCCCAGAAATGCGTGCGTACCTCTTGCGCCCAGACATTGCCCATCCGATGAAGCAGCATGGTGAGATGGCCGAGCGGTCTAAGGCGCCAGACTAAGGAACGACCAGGACAAGGTGTTGTCCGTTCAATCTGGTCTCTCCGGAGGCGCGAGTTCGAATCTCGTTCTCATCAGTTTTGGCGTCTTACGCCACATTTTTCAATTTCAAGTTGTTGAAGCGACAACTGTGGTCACCGAAAACATGATTTCTGGGTCTTCGCATCTTCACCGCTATGGCTCACAAACAACCTATATACCACCACCACAATACTGCGTATCCGTGTCTGGAACCGGACTCAAAGTGGGCAGGCAAGGCAGGTACAATTATTTAACAAGATCGAAAAACATGACAGGTCGTGAGTTACGTCAACCAAACGTCAACTTCTCATAAAACATATTTGAAAATCGATGAGATCAAAGAATCCATGGAAAGCACGCATTTAATAGGAATTGTCCGTGAAAGCCACTGGGCAGACACGTCAACGGCATGATATGGTAGTCAAATTTCCTCCTGTACAAGAGGGAACATACATTCTTCTATTTAGCAGTCGCGACATACCTATTATCGCAGGGCTTCTGCGGGGTCTGGCTCAGCCCCGCCCAAAGAATGCTCGGCTGCAATGTCGAGGACCTGGGTTGAGATAACGGTGACTCTTTTCTCGGCGGAGTCAGTGCCCAGTCCCATGCTTGGGGGGGGGCGGATCGGGGGGGGGCGTCGGGTCGGCCAGGGTCTAGTAGTACTCATACTGCGGTACAAAATGACTGCACACGCCTTATTAACGGACTGACAACTATTTTGTAGCTCTGGACACATCGAATAAAGGGCCAAGCATATTGAATGGCGGCTTGAACGTGTGGAGTGAAGTTAGGAGTGAAGTTTGACGTGTAGGGTTCACATGTTTTTAACAAGCTGTAGGTGGAACAGGAGAAGAGAAAAAATAGGCAAGACATCATTTGAAAATTATCTAATCATAACCTTACATCATATGGAAGTCGAAGAAAACAGCTGCCGGGTCGGACGAGTTGGAACGGCGCCCAAGGCTGCCCAGATGGCTCTGAGGGAATCTACATAGTGTCACTGTCGACCACATATCAACTTTGCTGTCACCATCACTAAGTTGGTCCATGTAGGTATTATAAAATTGATTTCCTTGAGGCGTTCATTAATACAAGTAGGTATGATACCGTGAGCACTGGACAACCATCAATCAAGCCCCTCTGGCCTCCATGACGAGGTTCAAAACGTTCTAGACCGAGAAGTTCTATTGCGCCGCCTTGTTGGTCTAGCCAAACCCCTCGTCCTCAGACTGGGCACTCGCCAAGGGTTCTGTGCCTCAGTGCCTTCGGTCGAATACGCCCACGGAACAACCCTGAGGGACACCCCGCGCCCCCGCGGGCGCGCCGCTGCATCATACCGGCCCAAGAACAAGTGCCGCAAGGCCGGAGGTATCTCCATCCCAGCCTGGATAATCCCACGCGCGATAAATTGCAACGCTGGCGACCACCCTCGCGGCAGCACGCCGCGCTCAATGAAATCGCGCTCGGTATCGTCGAAGGTACGCGCGACCGACTCCGCTGAGGTCCCAGTCAGGGCGTGCGGAGGGTGATTGGAACCGGTCGCGATGTCGGGCACGGGAAGGGAGGCGGGGTCAGCGTACTTGAAATGTTGAACTAATACCTCGATCAGGGCAGTGGACAGGCGCTCGTCGCGTTTTGGAAAAACAAGTTTGTGTATGTGCTCGGAATGGCCAGAGTTCTCCATGGTGTAGTGGGCCTCGAAGGGTACTTTGTTGATCCTTAAGTATTGACGAAGCGCCATGCGAAGAGTTCTGAGACGCATCGTCTTCACAGCCGCCTTTTCCACTGCTGAGCTCGCGCGGCTTTCAAGCCTAGACGCTTCGACACACTCCGCAGTGCACAGCTCCAACATGACAGTGTAAAATTCCGGACCAAAGGCCCATGGAGCAGGAGTAAACCAACTACGGCGTTCGGCTTTACACGCGAAAGTGTAAAACAGTCGAGCTTCGAGGAAGGCCTTTGCTTTAACAAGCGCATGAAGTAGAACCGTAAAGGTGATAGGCCCATAACGTGAAGCTCGGACGACTTCCTTGCGTCGGATGCGTACTTGTTCTTTGAGGGAGGTGCATACTTGCAGTGCAGGGAAGAGAGCAAAAATGACGGTGATGGCGACATGTGGTTGACCCGTGGAAGTAAGGTGCATGAGGTGAGTAGTCAGGTTGTAAACCGCCGTATCGATTCTTGCTTGGCGATTACGGCTCATCATCCATAGCTCGACTGATTGGAGTGTCTCTATGGTCGATGCAATTGAGCGGACCGCCTCGTGTTCGGAGAGCGCTAATGCACGAAGAGGGGTGTTTTCGTGCAGATCAGGCCTTTTGCTAGGACGATGATTTCTCGGAGGATCTTTGCTGGAATGTTTGCTAAGACTTTTGCTAGGAGGGCTTTTGCTAGCAACCGCCGTCACCGCTAAGCTAGCAAGGTCGTTATCCCGCATGAGCGTACCCGATCGTAGGAGGATATTGTATGTCGTTTGATCTAGAGCGAGTTTCCGAGCCTCCGTAAGATGTACAATGACCTTGTTGCCAAGGTCTGGCGACTGACAGTGTCGTAATGCGTAGTGTAACAAGGTGTTGCTGGACTTGAGGCCAAGAGGAGGGGTAAAGGCGCGAGTACTTTTCTTGTTACTGCTCGTGCGACTGCCGGGCGGAGACTCGATGAGCCGCACCAGAACATCATGGAAATAGGCGAAGGCCACGACCTGCCTGTTATTACCGCCTTTGTCCATCACCCAGACCTCAGCATCGACTCGAGGTGTGCTGTACATGAGAGCCAAGAGGGAGGAGATTGTGGATAGATGAAGTTGGCGAAAATCTAGCAAATTTGCCAATATCGCTAAGGCCTGCAGATTGGCGTCAAGAGCGCTTTGCTCAAACTCGGGTGAAGTAGTGCGGAGGGTGACAACATATCGGAAGTAGTCTGTCATCGGCGCCAAAATATAGTTGAGATGTCCCCATGTCGGAAGGAACAAGAGCGATCTCGGCCCGTATTTGTCTGCATTCCATGTGGTCGAGGCCGTATCGCCTTCTGGACAAGGAGGAGGATGGTAAAATTCTTTTATAGTTGTCCCAAACACCAAACACGCCAGAACGATCTCAGCGTTGAGGAGGCAAATCGCCAGAAGAGTGGCAAAGAGCCCTCTTGTGTCACCCTGGCCAGTTTTTCGCGCTACAGTGAAAATTTCAAGCGCGAGACGGGAAGTAGCGTGCTGCGCCATTGGTGCGAGATCGCCCAGGCTCTTTGGGTTCGGGATGAAATTCGGAGGCATTGTGGATTTGACTGAACTTTTCTTGCTAAAGTAATTAGGTTCAAGTGTATTCATGACGGCGTCAAGGGTTCTCGTGTGCACGCGCATACCATATTGCATCATCGAAACAGCAAGATGAGCTGCGTCTTTTAGCTGGTTGCGACGAATGAGGCCATGGACGAGGGCGTGAGAGGCGAGTCGCGGGTTTACTTTTTGGTTGAAGGTCATTGGAATGTATGAGGCAACGTTCGGGAGGTTAGAGGCTTCGGGGTTTTCTTTAAGAAAGGGGTGATGGAGGGAATTGACGATGTGTAAAGCGTTCTGTATTCCGTCAATAGGGGTTTCCAGAGCCAATAGTACTGCTTGACGGGCAGCACGCGAAGTTTGGGCGAGTGGGGATACGGTAACTATATCAAAGGTATCACCACTTGGGGCGGGTGTCGGTTTGGCTTTATGACTCTGCCAGGGTTGTTCGAAGTTCCTGGTAGACGTTGAAATTTGGGCGGGTTTGGCTTTATGCTTCCAGGCTTTTTCGGAGCTCCTGGTAGACGTCGGTGTTTGGGCGTGTCTGTTTGCGGCACAGGAATCTCGACCGTGTCGGGTTGGTCTCGGATTTGCTCTATGCCCATTCCAGGATTGTTCAACGCTCCTGGTAGGCCTCGATTGGGGTGCTAGGGTATGCTTTTGAAGCATATTCACTCTCGACGAGCCTGCTGAACGTTGTAGCTGGCCCCACTTTGTAGCATGATGTGGCTTTGTGAATGTTCGAAATGCCTGTGTGGCCGTGGTTGCAAAGATACATGGCATGTGTTTCGCATTACTGGAAAAGGTCAATAACCACTCATTCCATCTAGTTTGAATAGCATACCAATGCGTTTCAACACCGACCCGATCCTCCCTCCAGCTGAAGTTCTAGAACGAAGTTCGTGACAATTGTTCCGGTTTGAAAACAATCCTACGTACTAGGCGTGCGTGTGCCTTTTTAGGTGAGAGTTCAACGATGGTGAGGGTAGTTAGGACTAAGGGTTAGTTCACAATCAAGGTAGTACAAGGTCAATAGACTCAATCTGGCCTACCAGTGCCAGTCAAGTCGAAAATTCTGGGAACACGTGATCAATTTCGCGACTTGAACTTTTCCAACTTGACGTGAAACACTGCTCGTCACCGCCAGCGGCAGCGAGCTCGACTAAAAGTGTACGTTTCCTGTCAAATGAGCTATAACGACCGTCGTGGAGGCTACCGTCGACGACACCGAGGTGAGATACCGATGCTCAAGCTGTGAAAAGTTGTATTCGAACCATCGCACACAGACGACTATGACGATCGACGTCGCGAGCCATACGAAACACCAGAAGAGAAGCTCAAGACTGCTATAATAAAACTGGGAGAAGTGGTAAGAGAAGGCCCGTCTCATTGTCCCCAGGCGCTCACACTTGCAAAACCAGGATGCACTTGAGGAGCTTCCTCGCCTTCAAAAGCAGATTCAAGACTTTACGCCGCTGAATGTGGGCATCGTTTCCGAGGCATTCCGTATAGGGTGTGTTTGTTTCGACTTTCGAACAACTCTCACTAAGTGTCCGCTAGAGTGACTGAACAGCCGTACAAAATCCCTTACTACGCTGCCTTGATTCGACTACTTCACGACGGTGCTGAAGATACAGAGGGACCGTTGCTGGGGAGACTTGTCCTCGAAGACTTTTGGAAGGGGTTTCAAACATATGTCGACAAGTTGGAATGGAGGGAGACGCGTCTATGTGTAAGCTACGACGGTTTTGAATCAAGCACAACCTTATGCTTTCTCAGATCCAA